GGAAACTCTATTAAATCATTCTCATTAGAAAGAGCATGTTTCAAACCCCCTAAAAAAGTAGGGTTGGTTTATCATCGCTGACGTATAAAGCCCTAAAAATAGGGACAAAGTTGAGGACATTGCTATGGCAACGTCACATGTATTCTATTATTTTTTCATCTTGTTTGTTTTATATAGACATCATTACTACTATTATATTGTGTTGGTCCATGGTGACATTGTCACTACCAGTTCAGGCACTTGAACCAGCAACCCCATCGCCATGGGGGCCATGCCCAATAGCCGTGCAACACCAGTCACGGGTGGGTTTCTTGGTTTAGGAACCCAAGCCTGTAGTTTGGTTTCTTCCTCGAGGTTCCAAAGCCTTGTGTGGGTATCTGTCTGGTTCCCAAGCCGACGATTGGGCAGCTTATCCTAGGTTCCCAAGCCTAAAGTGGGTATCTTATATGGTTCCCAAGCCAAAGTTCGTACTGTTCATATGAAGTGCCAAATTCCAACGATCGCTTATTATTGAATTTACGCACCACATTCTTTAGTGTTGCTTTTGGGAATTGATACTGTCGACCTAATGACATAACTGAAGGCGCTGGAAGCACGCAAATAAGATGTGGTTCTGGAACCCAACAAACGTCTTGCAGGCTAATAAAATGAATGAGCAGGGCCTCACGGATGCATAAATGTTACCAACGCATCATTTTGTTCGATCAAAATTTCCATGACATTGCCTACCCACCATTTTTTGTCATAAATGCAGGCAACATAACAACTGGGAAATATGTTGGCCAAATTTAAATTTGGATCAACAGTATTGGACATTTTGGCCACAAAGTTAATCGTGTCATTTGAAACTTTGCTGACAGAAGTCGAACTTGAATCAACTCGCACAAACTGGTGATGATCTCTTGTGCCAGCTATTGTGCTGCTAACTTTCCATCTTTCTTCTTGCAGCATCCTGCTTTCTTCGATTTCTTCCTTCGGAACATATATATATTTAATTCCGTGAATGTTTCTGTTGCAAAAGTTGAACAGATCTGTCGGCATCAGTATTTGGTCGGCTGATGGTCGCTGGAGGCTGGCTCGAGCAGCCAAATGTTTAGTTGTGCCGCCAACTCCGTTGCATGGTGATTTGCCGTGACTCGTGCCGAAAAAATTCCATTCGGACTCAATTTCAAAATCATGTTTGTGATTGCACAGATTGACATTTTTGTAATTTTTGTATTGCGCCGCTGAACCGTCACTATAGTAGTATATTCTTGTAATCTTCATTTTAGTCATCAAAAACTCAATCAACTTCCGAATGAACACATGCACGGAAACCGTATCATGTTGCATATGATCAGAAATTATGCAACAGTTGACAATTTGCAGCGTGCCATCTTTATCAACATAATAAGCGACGAACGGATGCACTGTGGCTTGCGAATTCTCCCAGTGAAAGCCTTGAGCAGCATCTTGGACAACAAACGAGTAATTCTCCGCAAAATCCATCAGTACAATCAGTTCAGTTTCTTTTAGGGCGGCTTTCAACGACTTCAAATAATTTCTTTGATGTTTTGAAATGAAGTGGTGGCCAGTCAGTTTCCACATTTTGCTAGCAAGTTTTTCGATGAAGCCATCAACAGTGAGAACATTTGTTTCCAGCGTTTTGCGGTCAGTATGAACCCATTGTTTGAATTCTATTGATTCTTCTGAATCCCAGTCCTCGAATATTTCGTCCAAATGCGCTATCAGTGCTTCTTCACCAGGGCAGTTTTGGCATCGCTGCAACATACAATCTTTGGTGTTCAGATCACAAACTGCCTTTCCCATGAGCAGCTTGTAGTCCTCTTTAATGTTGGCACCTTGTAGCATAAGCTTAACATTTTGATGAATGGTGCAGACGCAGACGGAATGTGTGCTTGAAGCACAGACAGTGACACACCACTTTGGTCTGAGTTCACAGAGTTTGGAGAAACCAATTTCAGTACCATATTTGTTTCGATATGCCACATACAGTTCTTTCAGATTGCACAGTACCAACCGCTTTTGTTTGTGAACCTTGACGCCATCAAGCCGAATGGAAACACAATCCTTTTTGCCGGGGCACATCCTGCTAAATTCGTCATCCTCGTAGAAATCTTGAACTCTGTCGGCGATTTCCTTTGGCAACGGTTTGCCAACTTTTGCATCTGGTATGCACAAATGCCTCTCTCTTTCTTATTTTTCTCGCTGTTTTAACCATACATTCTGAAATGCCAAACATTTTTGCTGTCACCGGTATCAACCAACTCTTTGGGGCCAAAGTCAATAATTGAACTTTTGTCAATCTATTGGATATTTTAATTTTCATTTTCATGTCTTCGATTAGGTCAGCATAATCCTGGCATGACTGGCATTCCTTAGCAGCAGACTCACTAGTTTGCCCAATATCTTCAGCTGCTACTGCAGCGGGTAACGTTATTTTGTCTGCTACCACTTTCTGCACACGTTCAATTTTTCGTTTCACATAGCCAGTTTTATCCCTACTGCTCAACTTCCAAATTTTTAACGGAGAAGTCCCTAAATCGCCCAAACTTCGATTAATAGTGTCTGAAATGTCCATATCGTAATTATCCAACGGCGAAGAGTCTGCCATGCTTTGGACCATGGAAACATATTTGGCTTTACCCTTGGAACAAATCTTTTGACCCGGCTTCACATTTGTTTTTGCCACTTTTGTTAAATCATTGGACATGGCTAGATTGACTTTCAACAGCCCATGTTTAGCTACGTGATTTTGTTTGTCAAATGGGTTGCAGCCACACAAGGTTTTGGAACCTCGAGGAAAAAACCAAACTACAGGCTTGGGTTCCTAAACCAAGAAACCCACCCGTGGCTGGTGTTGGGCATGCCCCCTATGGCGATGGGGTTGTTGGTTCAAGTGCCTGAACTGGTAGTGACAATGTCACCATGGACCAACACAATATAATAGTAGTAATGATGTCTATATAAAACAAGATGAAAAAATAATAGAATACATGTGACGTTGCCATAGCAATGTCCTCAACTTTGTCCCTATTTTTAGGGCTTTATACGTCAGTGATGAAAAACCAACCCTACTTTTTTAGGGGGTTTGAAACATGCTCTTTCTAATGAGAATGATTTAACAGAGTTTCCAGAAGGTCTTTTTTTGTAAAAGTGGGCTGAAAATACCCTATTTTTGGTGGTTTTACAAAAAAACGTCAACTTTACACTCAATTTGTATACTATTGGAAAGCAGTAGGAGAATGAAATTTTATATTTGAAAACCTTGTGTTGCTAAGTTATTATGCGCAAAGTTTCACGTTTATCATACCTTTCCTTTCAGAGATATAAAAAGCCAAACGTTAAACTTTTTTTTGAGCCACAATATTTTCGGCCAACTTTGCTCCAAATTATCTAGATGGAGATCGCTCACGAGAATGTGTTTATTATTTTGTTTAATAGAGCACAAAACGGTGTACAAGATGGTCAAGTTTTGTTTCTCTCAACAAAATATTGCCGGAGTTATTATGTCTCAAAGTTGCTGGAATCTCAGAGTCATACTGTAGAAGGCTGCGGTATGGGGTCATACAAATGACTATATCTCCGCAAGTATTGCATCGGCAAACGTAACACTTTACCAATGTTCATTGGGGACATGTGTGCATGTTCACACAAAATTTCATCAAAATCTGTGATGGTCGAGCAGGGACCCCCAGACCACTTGACATGGAATGACCCTCCAGAAAGGATTTCACTGGAAACGCTGGCTAGCAGTCAGAAGAAACTAGCAAGCAGGCAGAAGAAAGATTGATTCTCTTTAAGTTAAACGAAGAGAGAAACACACATTATTCCTTTACTTTCTGAGCTGTTTCTTTTCTTCTGCTACCAGAAAGGCATGCAAATGAAGACTTTAGGCGTGTGGCGGGGGTGTCTGGCTGCAGTTTAAAGTCTCTCCAGATGAAAAGTTAATGAAGATTTTACTGGAAACACTGGCTAGCAGTCAGATAAAGTAGCAAGCAGGCACTGTCTTGGAGCAGAAATTAAACTCTTTTTACTCTTAGCGAGGATGCAATCTACTTCTTTAATTTCTTACTGTTCTGTTCCAAACAAGAGATTTGCTTTATTCCTGCTTGTCACAGACAGATTAACTCCAAAGACAGATTAATATTCAGATTATTTATTCTTCAGGAATCTCTAAACAATAACTCACAGTTAAGAAGAGTTCTTCTGAGGCACGTTTCATAATCTGTCCGATCTTGTGGTGTAAAAAATTAAAGGTAAATTCACCCCATATTCGTACGGAGCAAAGGACCCTCATGGCTGTACTACACAAAACTTTTCATACTGGCCCGTAGGCAGGAAAACCTGTCATAAACATTGAAGTCCCTCCCAATGACCAGTTAAGACATAGAACTGACCAATTAGGACACAGATATAACCATGTAACAACTAAAACTACATTTCCCAGAAGTCCATCTCTTAAGGAGACGGCTTTTTAACCTTTAAAATGCTACTTGCTCTACACACAGTTTTCTAAGCTAGCTATATGCTCTGGCCAGAGTTACATACTGGTCCAGCACAGAAATGTTTGCTTCAGTTGAAATTGATTGAATGAATCTGGCCATGAGGGAGTCAGCACAGACTGAATATAAGGACCAACTAAATTTAAGAAAACGAGTTGAAATACTAGGCTGTCTTTAAAGCTCTAAAGACTAGTATGTTTAACTTGTGTTTTTTACCAGATGCTTAGGAAAGAGTGGGAGTTTAGACAAGGGATAGATCACAGCCCAATTTTAAAATGCCCTGTTTGCAAGTATTAACTTTAAGCCTTTTGGGAGATGTGAAAAGACATACCTATGGATTACCCAGTACAGCACTCAACAGAAAAAAAAAAGATTCCTGCCTTCTTTACATTATGTTGCCTTTCACAACATGTTTCACAGTGTTTTTTTCCACTTTCTGTAGTTCTTCATTTGTGTCTTGTAAAGCTAATTATTTGCCTAATATTTTCTTGGCAGCAAAAAATTGCGAGTGAATATAAATGTGCCAATGAAGACTGAGCAGAAGCAAGAACAGGAAACAACACACAAGAATATTGAGGAAGACAGGAAGCTACTCATCCAGGTGCTCAGGAACTTTCATGGATTTCTCTGCGGCTGGCACTTTATATAATCGTGCTATTAAGTAGAAACTTTTCCACAGTAGTAAATGCTATTGTGCGTTTTTATTGCTGGCAGTGTGGTATAGATTCTTACAGGTTGAAATCCCTATTTCCCAGTCCTGTACTAAATGGCTGAGGTTTCTAATTATGCTCTATCCACAGGATTATTATTTTGGAAATAATTTAATGCCAATTTTCTTCATGAAAATAAGCTGAATATGTATATGATATTTAGATTATTGGTATGGCATGGTATACTTAGGCTAGTTCTTGAGATTCCCCCAGTTTTTCTCATCTATGCTGCCTGATACGTTTCAAGTAAACTGGTCAAGAATATACAGGTGGTCCTCGTTTAACGACCACTTGTTCAGCGACTGTTCCAACTTACGATGCTGAATGAGTGGTACGTATGACCGGTCCTCATACTTGTGACAGTCGCAGTGTCCCCACAGTCACATGATCATTTGCGACCGTCTTTGCTGACTTCCTACAAGCAAAGTCAGTGTTTTAATGACATTGACGGATTTACTTAATGATAGCAACGAGAAGTACTAGAATTTCCATCAGAATTTCCATCTTTAAGCATCATGGTCACATGTTGTCACACTTTACAACTATGTCACTTAATGATGGAAATTCCAGTCCCAATTACCATTGTTAAGTGAGGACTGCCTGTACATCTGGAGGGCTGTGCTGATAGTATTTTCAGCATTCTATGGATAAAGGTGTCCAGTTCCTTTCTGACTTGCACTCCATCTGGGCAGATCCAACCAAGTTAACTAGTGGGGTTTTAACCTGCTGTCTTAGGGGAGTTTGAGTCTATGAGTCTTGAGGAAGTGGACAGTTTTTTTGGGGGGGGCTGTCATTTGTCCACCCGTTAGAGTTGTGTCTCTCCTAGTTGGCTAAAACTGCCCAGGAAATGACGTGGGTGGGTCCAACTGATAGTTCATCCTTGAGTGAGGGTGTTGTCCCATCTGTTTTGAAGGCGTCGATGGTGCTTTCTTCCTTAAGAAACCATTGCTAGATAATTTTCAACTGGTCTCCAATCTTCTGTTTTGTGGAAAGGTTATAGAGAAGGTGTTACAGCTTCAGATCATCCTGGAGGAAATAAATTGAACAATTTTTAGTCAGTTTTGAAGCCTGGATACAATGCAGAGATGGAATTTATCATGTGGACAAACTTCGGTAGGACCAGGAAACTGATGGTGTAATTCTTCTCCTGCTTGGTCTCTTGGTGGCAATTGATCATGATATCCTTCTGAACCTTTTTACAGGGATTTGGGGTAGGAGACACTATAATGCAGTGATTCTCTTCTTTTCTCTGAGATCATTTCCAGTTGATGCTGGTAAGGGTGACATTAAGCCTGAGACTCCTTTATAGGGATCCTGTGTAGGGTTTGACATTCTTCCTGCTGTTATTTAATGAGGCCACTGGATGGGGTCATTGCTGGTATGGTGTCAGGTATAATGATAATCAGTTGAATATCAGGACTCCTGACTGGCCGAATGAAGCTGTCAGATTTCTCTTGGTGCTTAGAGGCTATTAAGATCAGGACAGAGAGGAAAAGGCTCAGACTCAACCCTAAAAGACTGTATTGCGGATTCATGGGACTTTATTTAAAACATTTATATAGCTGCCCATCATATATCAAACTCTGGGTAGCACCCAATCAGCAATTAAAACACCATCAATAATAAAACAACATATACAGTCCCTCATAAAATCCTCTCACCCACCTCACCCTATCCCAGCGCTTGGGGGAAAAGCCAGGTGCGAATGAAATATTTGCTTTATATGTGTCCCAGGATAATGTTGCAAGAGCCAATCTCAGGATCAAAGGTTTATTTTCTGAAGCTTTCAGGCTGCTGTTGGAGCCCATCCTCACGGAACCTCTCTACAGAATGTGTGCACATGGTGGCACAAGGAAACAACAACTTAATAGCTGGTCATCAACACCCTAATTAACTAAAAGCCACAGACAACCAGTCACCATATAAATAAATATGTGTGGAACAGTCCAGTGCACACATTCTAGAGAGAGAGTAGTTCCCTAAGGATCGGCTCCAGCACCAGCCCGAAAGCTTGGAAGAATAAACCTTTGGTTCTGGTGCCGGACTCAGATTGGATCCTGAAAAGCCAGGTCTTCAGTGCTTTTTGGAAGGCTAGGAGGGTAGAGGTCTTCTGAATGTGAAGGGGGTGGGTGTTCAATGGTCTTGTTTTGGGGGGCCTTCCAACTTCACCAGATGGATTAGTACAGGGGTCCCCAACTTTTGTTGGTTGGCGGACAGGAGGAAAAGGGAGGGGGAAGCATTTTACATGCATGCGCATGGGGCCGCGAGCATGTGCATGCTGCAAACGGGGTGGGGCTAGTGCCCGTGTGATACTAGCCCCTCCCCATTCTTGCGTGGCGCAGTGACTTGTTTCTGTGCCCTGTGGTGCAGCGGCAGCCGTTTTTGTGCCTTGGAGCATGGTGGCTGCCTGTTTTTGCACCCCCGTGGTGCAGCGGCGCCTTTTTTGCGCCTTGCAGCATGGCGTCGGCATCCCGCTTTTGCGCCCCGAGGTGTGTCGGCGTCATTTTTGCGCCTTGAGGTGTGGCGGCGGCGGCCCGTTTTCACGGCTGAGGCGCAGCAGCGATGTCCCGTTTTCGAGACGGCGGTGGCCCATTTTCGCACCCCGCGGCCACGGCACTAGCACAAGGGAGGGGGGGTGTGCGCAGAGGGGTAGCGTGGGGGGTGCAGGGGGGGCCGGCCGCACCGGGCGCAACATCTGGGGGGGCGCGCTCGCACTCGCAGCTCTCTGCCCCTGCCTGGCTCACTCACACTCTCTGCAGTGCTGGCTGTGCGAATCCGATCCGAGCCGCCGGGTCGCCGACGCCGCCCACTGTGGAGGGGGGCGCAAATTACTTGCCCCGGGTGCTGACAACCCACGCTACGCCACTGGGTGCGCGGCCCAGTGGCCAGGAGGCCGTGGCCCACTACTGGGCCGCAGCCCACAGGTTGAGGACCCCTGGATTAGTACATAAATTGGGGGTCATCCTAGACTCTTGCTTGAAGAGCAGGTGGCAACAGTGGCCAGAAAGGCTTTTGCACAGATGCCTCTTGTATGTACCTTTTCCTGGACTGAGAGTTCCTACTCACACTTGCCTTAATCTGCTTGTGGTTATTCTGTTACAATGAACTCTACGTTCAGAAGGTATTGCTGTTCCACAGTGTGATTGTATGAGTGGTTACAAGTACACCTTGAGTCACCCAGGTGACACCTTTGGTTTCTGAGCTACACTCTACAGATGATAATAGAACCTAACTAAAGACTTTATGGCCTCAGGGCCTGGTTATCTTCAGACTCCCTTCTCTCCAGTTACATTTGCTTATCCTATAAAATCATGTTCCAGCTCCCATCGTTCAAATTATCTTATGGAACCTTGGAAATGTGCCTTCTCTGTGGCCACTATGCCCTGCAAGATGGTATCTCTCCCCAAGAGTTGTAGAGTTGCTTGGACAATTGAAGGGGCTTATAAATTAAAGGAAGAAAGGAGGGACGGATGAGACTGTTTATATACAAATATGTATGTTAACACTGAACTCTGCTAATATTCAGGTTCATAACACAGCACTCTTCTTAAAGGATTCTTCTCTCCTTTTTATCCCTTCTTCCTTGGATAGGTATAGAATGTGGGGAAAAAATCACAGTAGGACTTACTCCATTTAAAAAATTACTCAAGTTTATTTTTTCTCTGGTCCAAGGCTTATTAACTTGACATTTGTGTTTATTTGCATGTGTAAACATCAAAGATGTTTTTCTCTGCCCTTATAGTACTGTTCACAGGGTAGAATCAGACAGACTAGTATAGCTATGTGAGTTGTATTTAAGTTCCTCAAGATTGCATGCTAGCAAAGATTTTTCTTGTGAAAAGATCATGCAATCAAAGGACATTCTTGCTATAGCATTCATCCATCTTTGAAATAACAATCACCTCTCCAGTGATTATAAGTCTAAAGTAGTATTTGTTGATTGAGGATGGGCTGTAACTCTAAAACCTTTTTTGTACATGTTATAGGCTGCTATCGTAAGGATTATGAAGATGAGAAAAGTCCTTAAGCATCAGCAGTTGCTTGGAGAAGTACTTACTCAGCTGTCATCGAGATTCAAACCACGAGTCCCAGTAATAAAGGTTTGTCTGTAGAACCATCTAGTAGTGGCTGGAAGGTCTTTCTTAGCTTGGCAAATGCTGATGTACTCATTTGTAAGAAGGCTGCTTAACAAGAATTTTTTTTTCCATATTGGAAAATATGTGGTATCACAACAGTTTAAGCTATTCAGAGAAAGCCAGGGACAATTTAACAGTTTCAATAACAATGTTTAAGCCTTACAGAATTGTAGTTGTTGTTTTGTAATCAAACTCAACAACTTTTAGTCCATATTTGTATTTCAATTCCCCTTTTGGAACTCCCCCCTCCATTGTTCTTATTAGGTGATAAAATCAATCCTTTATTTTGGTAGGTGCAATATGTGCACTTTATGAAACTTTTGGTCTTCTTTAAGATTTTTGATACTAACAGGACTATGTACAGTAGTTGCCATTTTTTCCAGCCTCTCTCCCTATAGCTCCGTGTGTCAAATCGTTCTTTATGTCAGGTTAAGTTTTGTTACTTGTTTCATGTGTCTTATAGTTACATTGCTGTTAAAGCTTGTTAAACATTTCCACTAAAATGAGTCACAGGGTGAAAGTGGTTGAAAATATGTCTGGATAATTGTTTTTCTTTCCATTTTCAGAAGTGCATTGATATTCTAATAGAGAAGGAATACTTGGAGCGTGTGGATGGTGAAAAGGACACGTATAGTTATTTGGCTTAACAGTTTTTATCAGCTGTCTGTGTCACCCTTAAATAGTAACAAGTTTGAAAGAGAATGGAACTTGTTGGTCTGCTGCCCTCTGGATCTCTGTTTTTATAACTAAGACCAGGGCTACCATCTGCCTGTCCTGGAATTACGTCAGACCTGCTCAGGCTTGATACATTTCAAGTTTGTAAACATGACCACCAAAGCCATCTAATCTAAGAACAGAATGGAATCTGAAACCTTCTCCACTGGAGGGTGCATGCTACTACATTTAAATCAATACATTGGCTATACAAAGAAAAGCTGTTGCCCCAGGCAGCACATACATGTTGGCAGCACTTTGAGAGACTGATTTGGGCACATGTGAAATATGCTATGAAAAATCATATGTATAGTGTGTTTCATTTTTTAATGTGTGATAAAAAAATAAAATTTCTGTACAAGTTGCATTTGGTTTTATTGTTAAGTTACATGATTTTATCTTTCTTAAATTTAAATAAAAGGAACAATGATTGTGAAAACCAGATGAACCGGGTACTGTTTTGCTTTCATTATTATCTCTAGTACTACCAAGCAAGACCTAATAACACTCAGATCAGTCTTGATCCTTTTCCTTTGATAGTAAGTGCAGTGTGAAGGAAAAATTAAATATTCAATATGTAAGAATACTTCAACTAAACTGATCCTTTATTGCTATATAAAACTCTTAGTGGCAGGAAATCATGTGTCCCTATATTTAACAACTAGAATTGTGGAAATACTTGTTCTAACATGGGGTAAGCTGCAGGCCAAAGTGATAGTAGATTTTATCTATACATTTAGCCAAGCCTTTGTTTAAAGATAGTAACAAACAATATGAATTCAAAGTTCAAGTATCCTTTATTCAAGGTTCACAAAGTATACCACACTGCATTATTGCAAAAGTTCAATGGTAAAAACATGTTGCAGCTGGTGAAAAGGCAATAAAAAGTTGATTTTTAAAATCTGTCACTATACATTACAGGTACAGTACTTTGCAAATTTTGCATTCCAAATTGCATTCAGTTTTTTCTTAATAAAATTGCCCACAGTACTAGAAACTCTTGAAGATAAGGCAGCTGTTTTATAGGTGAGGTAGCTGGTATCAAGGGATTTCCATTTCTCTTTCAATGCCTACATACTTGAGGGCATCAGCCTGACTGTATCTAGAATACAAAGGAAAATCATTTGCATTTGACTTTAAGACAAAGTGACTCGAGAATTCTGTTTAATAAAATTTTATTAAAAATGTTAATAATAACTAATACAAACTAAAATAGAATGGAAAAGGGGGGAAAGCTAAAAGTGCAAAAAAAAGTGGAAGTAGAAATATAAAGTGGGTTCTGATATTCTTTACAGCAGTTACAAGTACAATTATAGTTTAACCTCTCTTAAGGTTACATAATTACTTCTTTCTATAATCTGTCATGTCTAATCATCAAAATCATAAATTATAAATTCATTTTTTCTTTTTTACACAAAAAGTCCAGTCACCCCAAGAATTCTACTGCACAAAAAGGCACTATAGAAATGAAATTAGTTATCCTTACATCCAACAATTTATGAAGCTTACAATGTAATAATCCTGAGTACAGATATTTTTTGCAATCAATTATTAATAGCTAGTAAAAGTATACTCATTACCTAAATACTGGAATGTATTGTTACCCCAACTTAGGTTTTAGCATTATTAGCCCTACCTGTAATCAAAAAACAGCTCTTCACCAGTCTGAATAGCTCTCTTAGCAAATATGCCTATTCTGTGATCTCCATTAACCATCATAACTGTAAAAGAAAAAGTAAAGTTGAAGAAAGGCTTTACAAATACCTTCTGCTTAAAAAGTATGTGAGAATTAGTTGCTCATTATACTCCTGCTGTATAAATATTCACCTTTTGCATAGCAGTTGGGATTGACTGAATGGTTTGCAAATCTTATTTTGTTACCCTTTCGTGTTGCATCAACCACAAAATCTAAATAAAAACAATAGACAAATTCACAACTGACTGAAGTGTAGGAAATATAGTAATATTCTTAGAAAATGCTGTCTTATTCTGCAAGAAAAGCTTTGCAGCTATCTGCCACTTGAATTATACTTTAATTGCTGATTTGGCATACAAACTACTTCTGCATTATAATAACTCATGACAAGTACATATTTGTATCCTATCACATATCTTACATAATGTTTAAATGCTTCCTTTCAAACATTTTGAGTATTTTTGTCAATTAACACTTGTCCAGTTTTCATAATGTGCCATCTTTGCTGATCACACCACCTATAAAAGAATGTTTTTTTCACAATTGTGTACAGTATTAGGTCTTCAATTCTTGATAAAAATGAACACTGAAATATTTTGTTACTTCCACCATGAAGATTGAACTTCAAACTTAAAATCTTAGCAATTCTAATGAGGTGACTGGAAGCAGCATTAGTATTATATCCAGTATTTAAGAAATGTGAATAAAATAGAGGAAATTTAAGGACAACACACATACCGTTATTCAAATTGAATAGAAAGCTGCACATGTATTTATCATAGACTTTCCCTCTTCTGTCTGCTTCGTCCTGAGAAATAATCTGAAAATAATATTTAAAAGATGGCTCTGATAACATGCATAACCTATTTTCCATTGGAAATAAACTGTTCTCCTAATGTATTCTGCTACAACCTTTTGCCTATGGCAGGGCTTCTCAAACTGATACCACAACCTCCCTCAAAATTATAAGATTTTCTGCATCTCCTCTCTAAATAAAGTCATCTAATTTAATTGGAATCAAGGTTGGGCAAAAATAGTTACTGAGCTTCACTAATATGCTATATTTCCACAGATATTCCAGATATCAACAAGAAACCATCTGCCAATCTCAATGCTTTAAATAGTGAATGGTTTTGACAAAGGGATAGAGATCCATGAGTTTGGCCATACCTCAAAACTTGCTCTGAGCTTTCTTCGTTGCTTGCTCAAGCAAAACACAAGCAACTATTGAAAGTGCTCCTGATTTATCTGATCAACTTTAAGGGGGAAAAACATCCCCACCACCTCTATAAATTGCTTGTGACCCTAGGAAGATGGACCCACAGTTTGAGAACTGCTGATATTTGGTCTTGGGTGGCTTAGCCGCTGGTGCTGAATCCATCTTTCAGACATTGAAAGTTGTCTATCAAAATACAAGGAAAGCATTCTTTATCTTATATGGCCTAAGAGGTAGTTTTGAATTTTGTTCTGCATGTTAAGCAAGTTGTGGCTACTCTCTTCAAAAGACTGCCTTGAATATGGCAAGTTACAAAATGCTCATTTACTAGAAAGCAAACTGGTGAAGCCATTCCTGCCTCCAGTCCCTCCTCCATTCCAGTATGCTTCCCCTACAACCTCAGCTTAGTATTTCCCCCCTCCCCCGCCCAACCGGGTTGTCAGAACAGTGGTCTGGAATTACCTTACCATTTGTTTTAATGTCAATGGGTACCAAAGGCTTTCTTGCAAATAAACATGGTACTGCACACTGCACTTCACAGTGCTGCCTGCCACCTTCTCATTTTAATTCAAGTAAAAATTAAAGATTGGAATTTCCACATCTGTTTACAGTTAATAGGGCCCGAGATATTTGTAGATTAAGAAGTGCATTACTGTCACACTATTTTCCCACTTAGCAAGTTAAATAAGAAGCATTTCTATATATTTGGATGGGGGAGAGGAATATTCCATTGGAAAAGCTGTTGGAAGAAGTTGGACTCCTTAACCCCAGATTTTCAGAAGGGAAGTTCCCATCTACCCAAACCAATTGAGCAAGATGTTTATTTAACTTGAAATGTGAGGGGGTGGGGAGGAATCCTACCAAAATCAATAGGAAGAGGTAGAGTCCTACCTTCTCCAATAATCTGTATATAAGGTTATGCAGAGAAAGGGGCTCCCAGTAATTTTTCTACAGAAGGGTTTTTACTCCAAGTCAATAAAATTATTTTTATCATCACTTGAATACTGAGGGGAGGTGAAGAAGAGGTGTCTCCCTCTGTGGGTCTATTCCTGCTTCTCTATTTGTGTCATCCTCATGGACCTCTGTTTTGTGTCTGAGAGAAAAAAAAGAGCTGAAATGCTCCCAAACTTGACCTGGACCTATTATCTCTCCCACATTACTTATAAAGGATATACATTTGAAAAAAGATGTAGCTGTTTAGAAGAATTCTCAACAATTTTGGTGTAAACAAAGTACTTCACTCAAAATGGAATACAATATTATAAGAATACTAACTATACAAAACAGTTGTTCTTACCTCACCACAATATTCAGAGATGAATTCATTTTTCTGCACTGGATCCTTAATGAAAATCCCCCAGCCTGCCACATCAGAAGGTGCTAGCAGCAAATGCTAGCAGAATAAAAAAGCAGATGCTTTAAACAAACCAATAAAACTGAGAAGGTACTTAATTCTAACAAAATACATACTATGCACTATTAAAAGGAACAAAAACCAATCAAAGTAGTTGGCCAACTATCAATAAAGGGGTTTTTTTGAGTGACTGCTCATGTAAATAGTGAAGTACTGGCATGCAGACTCATAGACATTTACAGCAGCATGCTCAGAAAATAGTTTTGAAACACAAACGTTGCTTCTGTGATCTTCTATTGAATCCACACCAAAGTATTCTCCATCCCTCCCCAATTTTTCAATTAGTCTTTTGAAATGTTTACAGCAGCTGTAAAACCTCCAGAACTTCCTTCATTTTAAAAGTTGATATCTACATAATACTGTATACAGTAGTGGCCAAAATTGTGGAAACCTTTTGGGAAAAGTGTACATTTGAGGTTTGATAGCTAATAACACCACTTTCCTTTGGAGTAGTACCATAAAATTATATATCAATGGAAAGATAATTTAACCAAGAATGTAATGCAATAACTTTTATGAAGGATTTGCTATTAGAATAGCAGTTATAAAGAAGAAAAGTGAAACACATAGAAAAAACGAGATATACCAAAATTATCACCATAGAAAAAATGAGATATACAAAAATTATCACCATGTCAGTTAATACTTAGTTGGGTAACCTTTAGCATGAATTATGGCCTTACAACGTGTTCCCATGGAGTGAACCAAGTCCTTTAGTTCTGTGAAACCAAGATTGAATGATTGCTTCTATTAACTGGGTTTTATTGCTGGGTTGCTTCTGACTAACAAGTTTCTTTAGTTGGCTCCATAGATTTTCAATTGGGTTAAAGTCTGGGCTATTCCCAGGCCATTCCAGCAGTGGAATATGATTATGTTGAAACCACTTTTTGCACACAGCAGCAACATGACATGGAGCTGAATCCTGTTGAAATATAAGTGCTTCATTGTCTTGGAAAAGATCATGTGCAGAAAGCTTCAGTTTGGGCTCAAGTATTTCATTAATGGCCATTTATATTCCCATTAATCACACAAATTCTTTTGATGTCATACAACCCCAGATCATAACACTGACTGGGTGTTTCATGGTACATGTAATGCAATCAGGATGCAAATCTTCTCCGATTCTTCTCCTTACGTACTTTATGCCATCACTACCAAACAGGGAGATCTTGGTCTCATCACTCCAAATAACACTGTTCCATTGTTCCTCTGTCCAGGTAACATGGGTTTTAGCCCAGTTTAGTCTTTTCAACCTTTGCTTGAGAGATAAAAGTGGCTTTTTTTGTGGAATTCTAGATTTTAGGCCAAATTCCTGCAGTCTGCGCCGAACAGTCCTTGCACTCAACTTCAAATTGCATTGCGCCATTTCATCTTGTATACACCCAGATGATTTTCTTCTGTCACGTAGGCACAGTCTCTTAATTCTTCTATCATCACTTGCTGTTGTGCACCTTTTCCTGCCTTTACCAGTGTGGTTTCATAGTGACTTGAGTCTCCTTATACCTCTTCAAAAACTTAGAAATGCCACCTTTGGTTAAGTTTCCACCAAATTTTCTTCTAATTTCTTTATAACTGTAGCCTTGTTCACTTAATAATACTATTTTACATCGCTTTCTGGGTGACCAGTCAACTATTTGCAACATTACTTTAATTTTATTACGTTTTACAAGCTCACTAAATGAAAGAACACAAAAAAACCCAACCAACTTGATAGCGATCACATAACACACTGACAAAAGTCCTCCTCTTAGATTCAATACATGACATCAATAACTGAATCCTACTGTGATCTGATTGGCTCACTGCCAAAACAAGATGACACCTGATTGGTTCTCTAAACACTCATGCTCATTTGCTACAATCAGATGAAGGAAAGCTACCTGATATCAACCTAAGCAAGTTGTGCTTCCTTTTTCTGGTTATTTGGCTATAACGTTTCATAGAATACAGATACTTGAACAAACTTTATTGCATTACATTCTTGATTAAATCATCTTTCCATTGATATATAATTTTATGGTACTACTGCAAAAAAGTGGTGTTATTAGCTATCAAACCTCAAATGTACACTTTTCCCAAAACGTTTCCACAATTTTGGCCACTACTGTACAGTTATTTCAGAACTGCAACAGTATCAAATGGGGCATGTGTCAGTTAAAATTATACCTAGTATAGGAGCACCATTTCACTCAAAGCTTATTGGTTTTGCATCACTGCTACTTTATCATCTACA